GTTTTACTACATGTCCTTCATTGTAACTATATGTTAGTGTAGTGAAGGATAGAGCCGTTTTTTTTAATGACGGATTACCCCGCCTCTGCATCAGATGATGCACACATCCATATTTGTTAATATTAGAGTATCAAACATCCATTACATCGTACAAAAATGACAAGCAAAAAGAACACAAAGCTCGAATTAACCGGGCACTAAGAAGACACAATGGCTCAGTCACATATCACAGTGAGGATCATGCAATTCACCTCCCAACTCTAAGGACGGATGTGCTGTCAATACTCGCTGTTGATGAAGGATACGTCATGATGAATTGGCCGAATCCTTCATTCTGCATTATAGTCATCATCTGAAAGCTTAAATATGTTGGTGACATCTCTGGCAATGGCATGTCGCCATCAAGGTACTGCATCACCTGCCGCATAGTAGGCCTTGCATTGGCGAATGGGTGAGAGCATAGCAGGCCCAGCTTTAGAGCCACACATGCCTCGTCGGCGTTGTAGTTGCCCCCAAGCTGCTTATCCACGGGATCAAGGAGCGATCCCTTGTTCCACTGGTCGAGCACCGATTCGACCAACAATACTTGTCTATCCTCTAAGTTTGGGTTGACGGGCCTCTGCCTACAAGTAACTTCAAGAACAAACACTCCAAAGGCAAACACATCGGTGAGAGGTGTCGCTTTGCTAGTATGCCCTAGCTCAGGAGCTAGGTATCCTATGGTTCCCACCACGTGTGTGGTTTGCGGGTCGGCATCGTGGTCGTACAACCTTGCAAGGCCAAAGTCACCAAGTCTTCCATTCATGCCACCATCGAGGAGGACGTTACTGGCTTTGATGTCGCGGTGGATAACCACTTTCTCCCACTCTTCATGAAGGTAGACCAAGCATGATGCAATGCCTTTGATGATGTGCCACCTTTGAGCCCAATTCAAAATGGGTTTGTCTTCTCTGCCGTGCAAGTACTTGTCAACGCTCCCATTTGGCATGTACTCGTACACCAGAAACAATTCGCCTCTTCGTCGGCAGTAGCCAAGCAATGGCGCAAGATTGCGGTGTTGAAGACGTCCTATGCTCACGACCTCCGAGATGAATTCCTTGATGCCCTGCTTGGGGTCGTGTGCAACCTTCTTCACAGCAACCTCCATTCTAGACACCGGAAGGATGCCCCTGTGCACCCTCCCAAATCCTCCAATTCCTAGCAGGTGCGTGTCGCTGAAACCTTCTGTTGCACGGTACAGATCCTTGTACGAGAACCGCTGTGGACCAAACTCGACCTCCCAATCCTCTCGCAGCTCGGCGTACCGGAAACGTCTCCGAAGCACTAGGAGAACAATGGCACCTAAGGTGAGGACGAACGCTCCGGATGCTATTGGCAGAACTATGTCCAGTACCTTGGATCGTGGCTTCGGTCCCATGCGCGGAAGCTTTGGTAGCTTTGTGATGTCGATGGCCGGAGCAGGGCCGTTCATGGCGAAGCTCTAGCCGAGCACATAGTGTCGCACGTTGATCGTGCCGGTCGCCGAGGAGAAGCCGACGTACGTGACGTTTGTCACCGCGGTTGTGAGGTTGTAGGTGGCCGTGAACAACGGCTTCACTGGTCGGCCTACCTTGAGGGGAGCCATGGTGACGGTGATTTGAGCAACCCTGTGGTCGTAATCCACCCACACCCGCATGGCCTCACGGCTGATCAGGCTTGTGGAACTAGAGATTGAGAGATTGGAATGGCACAACCCAAAGGGTGGCCTCGGGGTTTATATATATCGATGCCCTAGGGCATAGTCGGCAGTCCGGTATATACAAGTTTGTTACAAGGGATAATGACTACGGGTAGATAAGAGATACTAACTACCGTATCCTGATGCAGAAGCTAACGTGTTTAACATCCCCCCTCAATCCAAACTTCGTGCTAGAAGATTGAGATTGTGTCTCTTTGAGACAAACGCCGCTTCTGCTAATGGCTTCGTGAAGATATCGGCAATCTGTTCCTTGGAGGAGATGAACCATACATCAAGTGCTTTAGCCGCAACCCTTTCACGCACAAAGTGAAAATCCACCTCTATATGTTTTGTTCTGGCATGAAATACTGGATTGGCTGACAAGTACGTAGCTCCTAAATTATCACACCACAAAACTGGAGGTCGCGACATGAAGACACCAAGCTCACCAAGGACAGACTGTATCCAGATTACTTCAGCTGTTCCATTTGCTAAAGCCTTGTACTCAGACTCAGTACTTGAACGTGAAATGGTGGCTTGCTTCCTTGAGCTCCAAGACACAAGATTTGGCCCAAGAAATACTGCGAAGCCACCTGTGGATCTGCGATCATCACTGCATCCAGCCCAATCCGCATCCGAGAAACAACTTAGTAATAGAGAGGGTGACTTCCGTATGGAAAGACCCATATCACGTGTGTGTTTCAAATATCTCAGAATGTGTTTAGCAGCTGAATAATGTACTATGGTTGGTGTGTGCAAGAATTGACAACCTCGGTTAACGGCAAACGAGATATCCAGTCTCGTGAGTCAAGTATTGAAGTGCCCCAACCAGACTTCGATACTTGGTGATATCATCATGTCCAAGAGGTGATCCACTGTCCTTACTGAGTTTTTCACTTGAAGACATGGGAGTGGTTGATATCTTGCAGTTTTCCATGTTGGCACGCCGAAGTATATCGCCAATATATTTCTGTTGAGACAGAACAATGCCCCCTGGCGATGACGTCACTTGAACTCCAAGAAAATAATGCAAGGGACCAAGATCCTTGAGAGCAAAAGAGACTTGGAGAGCCGCAAGCAACTTGGTTGTGGCAGTCGGAGAGGAGCTTGCCACGATGATATCATCAACATACACCAACATGAAGATAGTACGCAGAGAGATACGCCTCATCCCAAAACCGGAGAGGCATAGACGCATGAGATAAAAGTGAAAGCCCCATGTCAACGATATGGCGGTGTTTCCTTTCAGCGGAACTGTTCTGTTGATGCGTGTGTGAGCAAGAAACATGATGAGCAATGCCAAGTTGGCGAAAAAATGTGTTGCTAAGTTTTTCGTATTCCCCGCCCCAGTCAGACTGTACACATAAAATTTTACGTGATAAGAGGCGTTCAACATGTGCAAGGAAATCCCGAAAAACATCAAACACATCACATTTTCGTTTGAGGAGATAAATCCAAACAAATTTGCTATAATCATCAATGAACGAAACATAATATTGGAACCCACTAGATGAAGTTTTAGCAGGTCCCCACACATCTGAAAACACTAATTCCAAAGGAAAAGAAGACACACTCGAGGATCTAGGAAAGGGAAGCTGATGTGCTTTGTCTTGTTGACATGCATGGCACACATTGGTCAAAGACCGACTCGACGATGCTAATTTATTGGACGCCAAAATATGTTGGACAACTTGAGACGCCGGGTGACCAAACCGGGCATGCCAGTCTTCTGCGGAGAGCCAAACAGAGGACAAGGCACGGGACTGCATTGGCCGAATGGGGTAGAGCCCGTTTTCACATCTGCCTTGAAGAAGTACCCTCTTGGTGGTCAAATCCTTCATGAGAAAATGAGTAGGATAGTATTTTAGATAGGCATGATTATCAACAGCAAGACGATTGACAGAAAGTAGGTTTTTATCAGCGTTGGGAACATGAAGAATATTGCGAAGTTGAAGATTAGCAGAGGGTGTGGGAAGGATTGCATGACCACGATGAGCTATGTGCAAACCCGAGCCATCAGCCGTGTGGATGCGGTCCCGTCCAGGGTACTTCTCCCGTATGGTGAGGCGGTCCAGATCAGAGGTGATGTGGTCGGTGGCGCCCGTGTCCGTGAACCACGCAGGGTCACCGAGGATGGAAGGAGGTGAGGCAGCAGCGAGACCCACCATCTTGGAGTGTTGTGGCTGAAAAGCATGATTGTAGCGTTGAGCACACTCCCACGCATAGTGCCCAGGGCCACGACAGAGTTGGCATTGGACACGGGTGTGATTGCCACCCCCGTAGTCACCGCGGTCACCACCACCACGGTTGCCACCGTAGTCACTTTGCGGGCGATTGCCACCGCGATCACCGCGGTTGCCACCGCGGTTATTGTTGTTGTAGTCACCGCGGTCGCCTTGGTTACCGCGGCCCTTGCCACGGTAGTTGCCTTTGCCGCCGCGATTGTTGTTGTTGGTGCCGGACTTGTCGCGGGCGACGTAGTTGACAGAAGATCCACCAGCGTGGAGGTGAAGACGCGCAGCGTGGTACTCCCGACGACGCTCGAAGGAGAGAGCGTGCGAGTAGAGCTCCCCAAGGGCCATCTCATCAATCCGAGTGGTAACAGCGGTGATGAGGGGCTCGTAGTCGCTCTCGAGCCCGGTGATGACGGTAGTGATGATGTCGTCGTCGCGCATGGGACGACCGGCCGCCGCTAGCTGATCGGCATAGGAGCGAATCTTGGCGAAGTAATCTACCATGGAGAGATTGCCCTTGCGGAAATTTGCCATGTCCAGTTTGATCTGAACGACACTAGCACGGCAATGAGCAGAGTACATCTCCTCAAGGTGTGACCAGATGGCACGTGAGGTGTCAAAACGAATGACTTGCATGAGCACGTCATCGGTGAGAGAGGCGAGGAGATAGCTGAGCACGATCTGGTCCTGCCGGTACCAGACGGCATAGTCAGGATTGACGGCGCGTTCCCCTTTGTCATCAGGTGGAAGGAGCCGAGGAGGTGTAGGGGAGGTGCCATCGACATAGCCGGCGGCGTTGGCGATGCGAAGGGGAGGAAGGATCTGGGCTTTCCAGAGAAGGTAGTTGGAGGTGGTGAGTTTTGCCGTAATGAGGCTAGCAGATGGAGGGGGCACAACGGAGGTGGAGGGAGCCGAGAGAGATGCCGGCAGGGTAAGCGAGGGCATGGCAGAGTCGGTCATGGCGCCGGCAGAAGGAGAACCCATCGAGCTATGAAGCGAGATGGCCTGATACCATGTGAAACTGGAGATTGAGAGATTGGAACGGCACAACCCAAAGGGTGGCCTCGGAGTCTATATATATCGATGCCCTAGGGCATAGCCGGCAGTCCGGTACACACAAGTTTGTTACAAGGGATAATGACTACGGGTAGATAAGAGATACTAACTACCGTACCCTGATACAGAAGCTAACGTGTTTAACAAGGCTCAGGTTGCGGAAGCTACCGTCCTCGTCGTCGAAGTAGCCGGCGTAGTAGGACTGCAGCGATCTGAGGCCGTTGACGTTGGCGCCGGCGTGGTTCGCGTTGAGGTCGCCGAACTCCTTGTTCTGGATGGTGTCCAGCTCCACGGCGAAGAAGTGGTTGCTGCCGTTGCCGTTGTTCTGGACGTCCGTGAGGCCCAGGAGCTGGCCGGGCAGCGCGGACGAGAAGTTGGTGCTCGACGCCACCACGAAGGCCATGCCGTGGGCGCTCAGGTCGGTGAAGATGGACTGGATGGCGAACACGAAGGAGGCCGAGAAGGACTGAACGACGGCGCCGGGAGAGCCGGTGAAGCGGAGGGGAGTCCGGTAGAAGGCGTGGCCCTTCTGCTGGTCCGTGCCGTTGGTGAGCTCCAGGAGGCCGTCTGGGGTCACCGTGGCCGCGCCGTCCAGGGTGAGGTTGGCGCCGGTGAAACCGGAGTAGAGGAGCTGGCCATTGCCCTCTCCGATGGTGCGGGCTGCTAGAATAAGGCAAATTAGGAAGAGGAGCCGGTGAAGCATGAACACACTCTTCTCCATGGTGGAGGACGTACGGGTTAGCAGACGAACACGAGGGGAATTAATGTGTTGTAGAGGACCCGGCCGGACGGACTGGCTACGGATAAATGGCACGTTTTTGGATGTTTGGTGCAGTGCACCTAGTTGGCAAGTGTGAGGCGCCCAGCGGGAGGAAGGAGCTCCTCTCACAAAGATTTTTCCAAGTAAAAGGTATGGGGGCGAGCAGCAGTTTCAGTATAGATGGAAACATGGTTCAGTGTGGGACCTCCCCACTAGTGGAGGCGCTTTTTTTTTTTTTTTGTAACCATAGTGGAGGCGCGCGTTGTACCGTGAGCGGCACGCCTTGTGCTGATTTTCTTTTGTTTCTAGAATACGTAATTGCCCGTGCGCTGCAACGGAGGTATACTTACTCTAATAGTTTAATATTAATAATCTCAAACACAGAACTTTAGGATCCGCATGTACATCTCGCAACTACATTTGTCAATATCTCATTGCTTCTTTTCCTCCATTGCATCTTCACTGCATGACTTTTGCTCGGGTACACCGCAGTGGGAGATGCTCAAGCGAGCCGACCACGGCAGTGGGAGGGAGGGCATCTAGTAGCTCCACCTGCGCCAACACCGAGCCAACGATCCAAAAACAGGGCAATCACAGTCTCGCCCTGATCGATCCCGCACCACCTCCACCGCGCCCAAGGACACCACCACCACTACCGCCGTGCAAGCCGCTGCAAAGGGCCAACCCCACGCCGGATTTGAGGCCGCTGCACCGCAACGACGCCACGCTGCGGGCTCCTGTACGTGACCGCCGCACAATATATTTAATAGTGTTGGCTATCACACCTTTCTCCCTTTGGGCCCATTAGACGTTTTGGATCTCAGTTTCAACAAGTTCGAGGGGCCTACACCCATACCAAGATCCTTTGGCAGCGTGCTAGATTACTCAGGCAACCATTTCTCATCCATGCCACATAATATTTCTACTAAACTTGAAGAAACTGCCATTTTCAAGGCATCGGGAAACCAACTCTTTGGGAATATTTTACCATATTTTTGTGGTACAAAGATACAATTTCTTGATCTATCTAACAATATCCTCCATGGTACAATCCCTTTGTGCCTAATGGAGGATGCAAATGCATTGAAGGTTCTAAATCTGAAAGAAAATCAACTTCAAGGAGAGATGCCTCATGATGTCAACAACAATTGCATGCTTGAGGTGCTAGACTTTAGTGGAAATTGGATCTGAGGGCAATTGCCCAGATCTCTCTCTTCTTGCAAGAAGCTGGAGGTTCTTGATGTGGGAAATAACCGGATCAATGATTCTTTTCCATGCTGGATGAGTGGACTTCCTGGTCTTCAAGTACTTGTCCTGAATTCTAACGAATTCTTTGGACAAGTGGCGCCATCTATTGCTAATAATAAAAACAATTTTCAATTTCCAAGTCTGTGAATTCTGGATCTCGCCTCCAACAACTTCTCCGGTACATTAACAAAGGACTGGTTTATGAATCTAAAGTCCATGATGGTCGATACTGCTAACGGGATATCATTGATGAAATACATATCTGACCTACAAAGGCTCCGACAAGAATATCAAGTCGCCACTACACTCACTTACAAAGGGTATTCCATCGCACTTCCTAAGATCGCAAGGACCCTTGTACACATTGATGTGTCCAACAATGCATTCCATGGTAGCATCCCCCAAGCTATTGGGGAACTTGTTTTGCTCAACATTCTCAACATGTCACACAACTACTTGACTGAAGGAATTCCACCCCAACTTGGTCGTTTGAAGAAAGTAGAGTCTTTGGATTTATTCTCGAACGAGCTTACGGGAGTGATTCCACAAGAGCTAGCATCTTTGGACTTCCTTGGGACACTAAACTTCTCCAACAATAAGCTGGAGGGAAGAATACCAGGATCACCTCATTTTCAGTCATTTTCCAACAACTCGTTTCTGAGGAACGATGGGTTATGTGGACCTCCATTATCCAAAAAATGCAGCAATGAGACAACACCATATACCACGGTTGATCGTTCGAAGGAAAACCCTGCGGACATTGTGTTATTTCTCTTTTCTGGATTGGGATTTGGTGTTGGGTTTGCAGTTGTAATCATAGGGACATGGGTTCTTCCAATTAGTAAGAGAAGTTGAAATGGTGCTCTGTTTTCATTTGGAACCAGTGGGAAAACATACACCATTGGTAGTAAACTAGTAGTTAATGTTTTCTTCTGGGGTGAAGATGACTAGCAGTATGATAACATATGTACTACACCATTGGCAGTAAACTAGTAGTTAATGTTTTCTTTTGAGGAGGTACTCCCTCCTTTCCGGTTTATAGGGCTCAATTCTTAAATCTCATCAACCAAGGCATTTTGTGAGTGGAGGAATGTATCTCGTACTTTACAAAACTACTTAAATTAAACTCATGCATTAATTTGGATTAATTGCAGTGCACGCATGCTTGGCCACTAGATGAGTAGGAACATTACATGCATTAGTGTGTTCCTTTTTAATTCTTGCATGCAAAGATTTAACGCGCCTTAAAAACTAAAAATGAGACGGAGATGAACCCTTTAAATTGGAAAAACAAAAAAAGTTGAAATAAACCCTATAAACCGGAAAGGAGGGAGTAGTAGTTAGTGTTGTATTAGTGTTGCCAGGCATCTGCATCAAGGCTTTAATTTGAGGAGAAATGGTGTGACATGTTGTATCATGAAAATACATTGTGATGTGCCACTTTATTCAAGCCCCGATCGAGTTCATAGTTGGCTGAATGAATATTCAGAGTTACAAGGTGTCCTTTTCTCCCCGTAAAACCATATATGTTCACCTTTGTATTTTCGTGTTGCAGACCGGAGATGATATACTAGGGTAGTAGATTGTCACAACATGGCCATATATAACTACCAGACTACAAACAGTGTTAAGTGCTGAAGCACTTCTGCAAGAGAAAACATTGGTGCATGATCCAACCATACATAATACCATCACAGGTGTGCAAGTAGGTGCCACAAAGCAAAAGAGACCATTCATGCATGAATGAATGATCCCACATTGGCAACTGCATATACAACTACAGACTTCGAAGATAACAGGGCAACACCAATAGACCGTCCAGCGAAAACCAAAAGATACCCGAGGAGTACTAGACTTACTAACGTCAGAGAATGAAACACAACTCAACCTCTCGATCGAGCAGAAAGGAAACATCGGCCACCGCCCACTAGGGGCGTGTTTGGTTGCCCGCATCAAGCCCACCCAGGCCCGCGCGAGAAGGAAGAGGCATGTTTGGTTGTCTGGTTTCACCATTGGGCTTGCATCTTAAAGCTTCTTAAAGCTGGAAATGCTCAAATCGGCAGTTTCTCGCGAGCCAGGCCGAAGCGAGGGCAAGCAAGCGGGCCCTTGCACGAGTGGAGAAGAGAGGGATGCGAGGTGATTATGTGAGGTCTTCTTCAACCTCCAGTAAGCTTCTATCTAATCTCCTCCCTCTGATCTACACAACGGCGCTTTGTTTCGAGGTAAGTTCTACACGAAAAAGATGCACCTCGATGCTACAGTACCACTGAGGCGATCGGTTGGTAGTTTCATTGACCGTACATGCTCAATTTCTTGTTCCCGTTTGGAGCTGTTTTGGACGAATTTTATCAGATTCGCCGCGCACGATCGATTGTTTGACACTGCTTAATTATTCCTCTAGCCAGTGTGGTTTCTCTCCATCTCCTCTCCCGCGTCCTGCTGTGGTAGCATCATCGTCGCCGTCGTTCATCTGGGCCTTCTCTCCATGATCCTACTGTAGTTAAGCCGCCATGGCGCGCACACTGATGGGGTTCTTCTCCTCTATTCTCTGCCACCGACGGGGTCGATCATCTTGGCCTCCTCCCGGCTCCTCTTTCTCGTCCTACTATATTGGAGTCATTTTCGGCGTCGATCATCTCAGCTCCTCTCTCTCATCCTACTACATTGATGATGCCATGGCGTGAGCACGGCATTTCTCCCTCTTCTGTCCACTGTCTTTGCGCGAGCACTCCAACTAGTTCGCTGACGGGGTCGCTCGCCCATGACTTCGTGCTCGTCATGTTGGACACGGCGCCACGGTCACTATCCACCGCGGTTGCCATGGTCCGGCGCACACTGAATTTCTTCTCCCCCTTCCTCTGCTAGCTCTTAACACTATGTGCTAAGTGCAAGTGCGAGCTCTTAATCATACCCCATGTGGGCAACCAAACAGCGGGTAGTTGTATGTGTCGAGACAATGCAGGCAACCAAATAACGTGCCAAAGTTGATTCCCTAATGCAGGAAGTCCATATGCAGGCAACCAAACAACTTGCGGATGTCGCATATGGGGCTGTTTTTTCAAAGCCAGGCTGGGTTGAGATGTGTATGCAATGCTGCTACTGTTCACTACTGCAACCAAACACGCCCTAGACAAACCGACACAGATTGGCTGACGAATGTCAGCTGAACTTGCGCAAGAGAAACACGGTGAGGGTGACGCTGCCGGACGAGCCCCACAAATCATCGGGTACGAACACGAAGCACTTGGCCTTGTATCCCTGCAGCCGACGGACAAACTGCACTTTCCCCGATGCCGACTGATACGTCTCCAACGTATCTATAATTTTTGATGTATTCATGCCATGTTTATAATATTTTTACATGATTTTGGTATGATTTGGTTAGAACTAACATGGACTGACACTGTTTTCAGCAGAACTACTGTGGTGTTGTTTTGTGTAGAAATAAGAGTTCTCGGAATGCGTTGAAAATCAGCGGAGAATATTTTTGAAAAATATAAAAAATACTGGAAAGAAAAGCTACCGGAGGGGACTCCCGAGGGCACCAAGAGGGTGTAGGGCGCCCCCCTAGGCGCGCCCCCTGCCTCGTAGACTCCCTGTCGGCCCCCCTGACGTGAAACCGACGCCAACCCCTCCTATAAATCCCCAAACTTCCAGAACAAAACCTAGATCGGGAGTTCCGCCGCCGCAAGCCTCTGTAGCTAACAAAAACCAATCGGGGCCCTGTTCCAGCACCCTGCCGGAGGGGGGATCCATCACCGGTGGCCATCTTCATCATCCCGACGCTCTCCATGACAAGGAGGGAGTAGTTCACCCTCGGGGCTGAGGGTATGTACCAGTAGATATGTGTTTGATCTCTCTCTCTCTCTCTCCCTCTCTCTCTCTCTCTCTCTCGTGTTCTTGATATGGCAGGATCTTGATGTACCGCGAGCTTTGCTACTATTGTTGGATCTTATGATGTTCCTCCCCTATACCTTCCTGTAATGGATTGAGTTTTTCCTTTGAAGTTATCTTATCGGATTGAGTCTTTAAGGATTTGAGAACGCTTGATGTATGTCTTGCATGTGTTTATCAGTGGTGACAACGGGATATTCACGTGATCTATTTGATGTATGTTTTGGTGATCAACTTGCGAGTTTAGTGACCTTGCGAACTTATGCATAGGGGTTGGCACACGTTTTCGTCTTGACTCTCCGGCAAAAACTTTGGGGCACTCTTTGAGGTTCTTTGTGTTGGATTGAATAGATGAATATGAGATTGTGTGATGCATATCGTATAATCAAACCCGCGGATACTTGAGGTGACATTGGAGTATCTAGGTGACATTAGGGTTTTGGTTGATGTGTGTCTTAAGGTGTTATTTTACTACGAACTCTAGGGCTATTTGTGACACTTATAGGAATAGCCCTGGATTGATCGGAAAGAATAACTTTGAGGTGGTTTCGTACCCTACAATAACCATGAGGGGATGGGAGGAGAGGAGGGAGGAGGAGCTCACCGGAGAGGAGGGAGGAGGAGC